AAAGAAAGAAAAGAAAAAGAAATTAAAGGGCAGAGGTACCTTCCCTGAGAAATCACCACACATTGGAATCTGACTTCCCTCAACCCAGAAGATCCAAAAATGTTTGTGTCAATACTCCTAGAGTAGATGCTTCTTTCATCTGACCCATAATAACCAAACTCCATGGGCTGACTTGTTATACAGCGTGCCAGCTTATCAATTTACAATGAGAAAATGTTGTCACAGCAATGAAAACACTGACATCCACAGGATGAGTACTTCCCTTCTCTGAGTCAAAAGTCCACCTACTAATTTATAATTAGAAATAACTGGCCGGGCGCAGTGGCTCATGCCTGTAATCCCGGCACTTTGGGAAGGCCAACACAGGTGGATCACGAGGTCAAGAGATCTAAACCATCCTGGCCAACATGGTGAAACCCTGTCTCTACTAAAAATATTATAAAAAATTAGATGGGCATGGTGGTGCACACCTGTAATCCCAGCTACTTGGGAAGCTGAGGCAGGAGAATCACTTGAACCCGGGAGGCAGAGTTTGCAGTGAGCCGAGATTGCAACACTGTACTCCAGCCTGGTGACAGAGTAAGACTCTGTCTCAAAAAAAAAAAAAAAAAAAAAAAATGAGAGAGAGAGAGAGAAATAACTATTACAGAGCCCAGACTAGTTAAAGGTCATATAATCACCACATTTACCTCACCTAGGTGAGGCTGCATAGAAATCAAATCACAAAATTCCTCCATAAGTTTAGAAGGTCATTGCCAACATTTACTCAGTGATGTGCCTTTCTTTTCCTGGATTTCCCCACTAAACAAATAGCCAATCCGCCAACATTTACTATTCTGATTGACACATTCTTTATACATGTTTATATGTTCAGTCTAATTAACATCCTGTCCTTCTAGATGTGAAGTGCTACTTTTCCTTCTTTTTTTTTGAGATGGAATCTTGCTCTGTCACCCAGGCTGAGCCACTGTGCCTGGCCAACTTATTCTTTTATTATTATTATTATCTCTAAGTGAGAAAGTGCTTGTGGAACAACCTATTCTTAAAAAAAGGAAAAGTATAATGGGCACGGTGGTTCACGCTTGTAATCTCAGCACTTTAGGAGGACGAGGTGGGTGGATCACCTAAGGTTAGGAGTTCGAGATCAGCCTGGCCAACATGGTGAGACCCCGTCTCTACTAAAAATACAAAACTTAGCCAGGCGTGGTAGTGGGCACCAGTAGTCCTAGCTATTCAGGGGGCTGAGGCAGGAGAATCTCTTGAACCTGGGAGGCCAAGGGGTTGCAGTGAGCCGAGATCGCACCACTGCACTCCAGCCTGGGTGACAGAGCAAGACTCCGTCTCAAAAAAAAAAAAAAAAAGAATAGCTCATGGCTGGGCACAGTGGCACATGCCTGTAAAATCCCAGCACTTTGGGAAGCCAAGGCAGGTGGATCATCTGAGGTAAGGAGTTTGAGACCAACACTTTGGGAGGACGAGATGGGTGGATCACCTAAGGTTAGGAGTTCGAGATCAGCCTGGCCAACATGGTGAGACCTCGTCTCTACTAAAAATATGAAACATTAGCCAGGCGTGGTGGCGGGCACCTGTAATCCCAGCTACTCAGGAGGCTGAGGCGGGAGAATTGCTTGAACCCAGGAGGCAGAGGTTGCAGTGAGCTGAGATCATGTCATTGCACTCCAGCCTGGGCAACAAGAGTGAAACTCCATCTCAAATAGTAAATAAACTGAATAAATAAAAGCTCATGTCTTTACTCATATTCATTGTGTGTTGATTTTACATTTGAACAACAAGAGAACAATTTTATTCCTACATTTCCAAGTTTCTGGGGAATCTCACAATCATTTCCAAGTATTTATAAGGGTTGTTAGAGATTTATTTCTGTTAGGTAAATTTTAAGTTAAGATTTGCCTTTGCTCTCATATGTGGTATGTCAATATGCGGACTAAACAAAATAACGTTTGTAATAGGTTTAATTTAACTCAGTATCAGTATTATTTTTCTCCTATTGTTATTGATTGGTTTATTATTTATTTATTTATTGAGAGGCAATAGCACAATCTCTGCTCACCGCGACCCCTGCCTCCTGAGTTCAAGAGATTCTCCTACCTCAGCCTCCCAAGTAGCTGGGATTACAGGCATGTGCCACGACACCCGGCTAATTTTGTATTTTTAGTAGAGACGGTTTCACCATGTTGGTCAGGCTGGTCTTGAACTCCTGACCTCAGGTGCTGTGCCCGCCTTGGCCTCCCAAAGTGCTGGGATTACAGGCGTGAGCCACCGCGCCCTGCTTGATTGGTTTGTTTTCTAATATTTTCTCTACCGTCTCACTTTTAACCTTCTCTAAGAGCAAACACAGTAGCTGAGCCTGACACCCATTTCAGTCAACTTCTCATTCCACTTAACATGCCCACAATATGAAGAGACTAAATACCTAGACCACCATCATCTAAATTCTATGAGTTGGTCACGATATGTGGAGCCACAGTTCTCTTTCCTGATCTTTCTTACTTCTCAAGAGCCACTTTCAAATGAGAAAAGTTATTCAAAGGAAGGACAATATGGAATTCAACCACACCTTGATTTTGTCAGTATCAGCTTACCCGGACTAGAAACTTCACATTCTGCCTAACGTCTTCTTCCACAGGCTCCTTCTTCCTGGTGAGTGCTCTGCTGATCAATGTTCTGAAAGTGAGCCCATTCAACAGTGGTCACCTGGTCATGGGATCTTTCATCAAGGATGATGTTTCCACCCACTCCTACCTCGTGGGCTATAATAAATCCTTGAGTGTGGTGGCAACCACAACTTTTCTGACCGGGATTATCCAGGTAGGATCTGAGTCTTCAAATCCCTGAAAAGGAACCGAATAAAGGGGCTATAAACAGACCCCTTCCTTGTATTGCTCCTGTGATCCATTGTGATATACCTGGACCTTCAGTGATCTGTTTCTTGAAA